GAATGGGGTAGGAGTGGGGGTGTGAAAAGCCTTAGAGGATTATGTGTTGCTGGCCTTTTTTTGTTTTTTTTTTTTTCTGGTCTTGACTCATACAGTAAGTTGAAGGTAAATATTGGGCAATTTATTTAACCACACTATTCCTCAATTTCCTTATTAGCAATGCTGTCTTGTTTATAAGGAGTTTTGAAATTTTTGCAAGCACATAAAACACTGGTGCAAATATCCAATGTAGCTATCATATTGCTAATCCACTTGATGTCTCTCCAGCAGTGGAGACCACCTGCATCAAACTCACTTGGCATGTTTATTAAAATGCACAGTCCCCCAGGGCCACCCCAGACCTTCTGAATTAAAAGCACAAGGGGTGCAACCAAAATTTTCCATTGTAAAACAAGCTCCTGGATTGATTTTGATACACTCTAAAGTATCCTTTTGAGTATTTGCTTTCTGTTAAGCCTGAGATTGAACAAGATAGTATGATCACCTAAAAATCCCCTGGTATTTTTCAGGGTTTTCTGGATTGACCCAATCTCAGCCACTTTTCCCAGAGCTACTGCATATTGTGATTGAATTATTCATTTAAAAAATATCTCAAGATTTATTTTGCCAGTCCTTTTCCTCAAAATGTAGATGATCTGGTAGGATGTTGAGGACTAATAGTTCATAGTCAGAGGTAGGATAAAATTAATACTCAGGCTTCCAAAAGTAAAAGAATAAAGCCAGTGAGCATTAATCTCCCTGCTTTCAGTTTAATGTTGGACTTCCCCTAGGAGACCCAGGATTGAGGTCCTAGTCTTGATCTGGCCACTGACTCAGCTTTGACCTTGGAAAAACCATTGAATCTTTCCACACAGTTTCCCCCTCGACAATATAAGCTTTCTCTATCATCACGAAATATTTTTCAGAGGAGCTTTTAGTTTATTAGGAGGAAAGTTGTGTTATGGTAACCATATATTATGTAACCAGATGTAATTTATGAAGCAGCAATAGCCTTAGATTATGGATTGGTAATGGTGAGTATGTGTTATGACTGAAGAGGAACAAAAAAGGTTGTCTAGTCCTTCCCTTTGTGTTGAGAACTAAAAAGAGTATTCAGGCTTGTGGATTTATGGAATAAGCTACTAGAGTACCTGCAAAAAATACTACAGAAATGGCAAAGAGACATTCAAAGTTCCTGTTTCTCTACTCAGAAACCTGGGAGAATGGAAGAACTGCTGACTACCTCTAGCTTTGCTTCACCACCTGCTCTTGATAGATTATTCTACTGTATCACAGTTAACATCCCTTTTGCCACCTTTTCTTGAACTGTTTCACTACCTCGAGATCTGTTACTAGTTCTACTGATGCAAAACAAATCACCACAAATTTGGCAGTGTAGGTAAAACAACACACATTTATTATCTCACTGTTTCCATGGGGCGGGAGTCCAGGCAGAGCTTATCTAGGTCTCACAAGGCCGAAATCAAGGTGTCAGTGGGGCTGCATTCTCATATGGAGGACCAACTAGGGAAGAATCTGCTTCCAATCTCCCTTGGGTTGTTTGCAGCATTCATTCCTTGCAGTGGTAGAATTCGTGGTAGCTTGCTTCTTCAAATCCAACAACGGTGGGAATCTCTCTTGATTTCAACAAGAAATCTTAAGGCTTTAAAAGATAAATGGACTTCATACCCAATAGGATAGCTATTATGAAAATAAAATAAAAAAAAAAAAACAAGAAATAAGTGTTGGTGAGCATGTAGAGAAATTGGAACTCTTGTGCACTGTTGATGGAAGTGTAAAATGTTGCAGCCACTATGAAAAACAATATGATGTTGCACTTCTGTGTGTATCCCTCAAAAAAATTGAAAAAAGAGACTTAAACAGATAATTATACACTCATGTTCATAGGAGCATTATTTATAATAGCCAGATGGGAGGAAAAAAACTACTGTTCATCAATGGGTGAATGGATAAAGAAAATGTGGTGCATACATACAATAGAACATGATTCAGCCTTAAAAAGGAAGGAAATTCTAACCCATGCTACAACATGAACCTCAAAAATATCATGCTAAGTGAAATAAGCCAGTCACAAAGGACAAATATTTGAAGATTCTACATATATGAGGTATGTAGAGTAGTGACATTCATAGAGACACAAAGTCGAATGGTGGTTTCCAGGGACAGGGGGAGAGGAAATGGGAATTACTGTGTAATGGATATAGAGTTTCAGTTTTGCAAGATGCAAGAGTTCTGGAGATGGATAGTGATGATGGTTGCAGAATAATGTAGGTGTATTAATGCCATGGTACTATGCATTTAAATATAGTTAAAATGGCAAATGTTATATTATTTATATTTTATCACATAAAAATATTGAAAAGATAATCAGGCAAGAGAGATGAACAGATGAACATGTAGATTACAAAACAGGAAATGTAAAACGCAAGAGGACATAGGGGAAGGATGCTCAACCTTTAATGCTAACCAAAGAAGTGAAAATTTTAAAATAGTATTGTGGTACCATCTTTTAGTCTAATAGGATAATAAATGTTATTTGTGTAACATACAAAGTTTGGCATATAATTGTATTCAAAACATATTTCACTTCTCTGCTTCTTCCTCCCCTACCCCTGGAACAGAGATGAGATAAATGTTTATTTAATAATTTTATTCCGGTGTTTCACAGAAGATAGATTGTAAACCACTCCTAGTACTCTATTTTAGTTTACAAGTTTAATTTTTTTTAAAGTAAAACCTTTTCTTATGGCCCAATTTGGGTTCCAGTCTAAGGATATCAAATACAATTCTGAAATGCTTATTGTATCAAAAAAGGGTTTGGTTTGCCTGCAAAGATTCATTAGATGATTTCCACCAATATATCCCAGAGTTTATAGTACTAGGAGTAGGTGAGTTGGTACTCTCTCTATACCCTAAAACTGATATAGTTTGAGTATCCCTAGTCCAAAAATTTTGAACCAAAAATGCTCCAAAATCCAAAACTTTTGAGTGCCAACATGATACTACAAGTAGAAAATTTCCCACCTGACCTCATGTGACAGGGTGCAGTCAAAAACACAGTCAAACTGCTTCATGAACCAAATTATGTAAATATTGTATAAAATTACCTTTAGTCTGTGTATACAAGGTGTATATGAAACACAAATGAATTTCATGTTTAGACTTGGGTCCTAGTCCCCAAGATACCTCATTATACATATGCAAATATTCCAAATTCCAAAGAAATCTGAAATCCAAAGCACTTCTGGTGCCAAGCATTTGGGATGAGGAATACCCAACCTGTATTCTTACAGTATAGCAGATCCCCTTCACATTCCTGTTTCTAAAAAGCCATGTGGCCACACACCTGCTTTATTATCCCTTTATTATCTCATCGTTGTCATGGGTCATTACTATTTGTGACAATTTACTGAAGGCAATTAGAGTCAATCTTGTTGATAGTAATGAAATGTAGCTAACAATACATCTATTATTAATTGGTCAAACACTATGAGGCAGTCATTCTATTAAGCATGTTTCTGTTATTTCACTTAATCCTCACATCCTTCTGAGACAAGTTATATAACCATCCTTTCAAAGGTGAGAAACAGAGGCTCAGAGTTTTAATAACTCACTTCGAATCGCTTGTTGGTAGAGTTAGAATTCAAATCCAAGTCTCTCTAACTGCAAATCTCTGGGCTTCCATTACATTGAATCCAGGAATATTAATTATATTTATTTCATAAGGAAAAGGGATTTATCAGAATTAAAATGTAAATGTGACTTTGTAGAAACAGATTGTTAATAATCATAGTTCCTAAAGTTTCATATTAATTCAGGAGCATTTTTTAAAGTCAAAGTTATGTAGGTCCTACAAACAAGCTGTTGTACATTCAGAATAGAATGCTTCCTATTTCATGTCAAAAGTGCAGATTTGCTTCCTGATAAGATGTACTATTTGGAGACTGTCTATTTTTTATTGTGATTCAGGTGCAAATAACAGGAAAACATATTTTTTTCCTATCTTGGCAAAAGAGATATTGCTAAAAAAGAATACACAATGTAATGATTTAAATTGTTTTTTTGTTGTTGTTGTTATTGTGAATTGGCAGAAAGCAAATTTTAGCACAAAATTCAAAGAAGTAACAATGGTCTACTGACAGAAAAGTCCAGCCAGGGAATTTCCCAAGACTCTAAGCTATGAGGCGGGCCCTCAGAGACACTGGCTGCTCTTCCCTGTCCAAGAAAATGAAAAAATGCAGAACTGCAGAGTATTGAAGAGACAGCCAGGCATATTTCTTTCTTTTTTTTTTTTTTATTTTGAGATGGAATCTCGCACTGTCACCCAGGCTGTAGTGCAGTAGTGGGATCTCGGCTCACTGCAATCTCCACCTCCTGGGGTCAAGCCATTCTCCTGCCTCTGCCTCTTGAGTAGCTGGAGTCCCACTACAGGCGTGCACCACCACGCCCAGCTAATTTTTTTTTGTATCTTTAGTAGAGATGGGGTTTCACCATGTTGGCCAGGATGGTCTTGATCTCCTGACCTCATGATCCACCTGCCTCAGCCTCCCAAAGTGCTGGGATTATAGATGTGAGCCACCACTCCTGACCCAGCCAGGCATATTTCAACTCAAAATGAACTACTTTGCAAGGCCTTATATCCATGTATTTGAAAAAAAAAAAAAAAAAAAAGTCTAGCATCAAAAAAAAAAAAAAATACCAAACTTGTCTTTGTAACCCTTAGACCACTCAATAAATGGTCATTCTTATGTAATATAGCTTTTAAATGGTGCTGAAATGTAAAGAAAATATTTTTTAAAATATCCTTTTTTTTTTTAAGAGAAATTCAGTTCTTAATTCTTAAGGTCAAAATGTTTTCAAAGATTTTTCAAAAGGAGTGTAAAAATTGGCAACAAATAAATTTGAATGTGAAAGACAATCATACACACACACACTCTCTCTCTCTCTCTCTCATTTCACTTGATCTGTTCTAAACTACATGCTGTTTCTTGTGTTTTCAGAGCACATACGTGTTTTAACCGTCTGGATCTGCCCCCCTACCCATCCTTTTCCATGCTTTATGAAAAACTGTTGACAGCAGTTGAAGAGACCAGTACTTTTGGACTTGAGTGACCTGGAAGCAGAATTCCCATCTCTGTGGATAGGCAGTTTCAGAAGCTGCCTTCTAGAAGAATGACTGAACATTGGAAGTTTCAAGTGGTTGCTTTCTTTAGGATAAAGCTGCGTGCTGTTATTTTCCAGGAACAAGTGCTCTGTCACATTTGAGGACTGGAGATGAGTCCTCTTGGAAGGATTTGGGTGAGCTTGATGCCCAGGGAACAACCCAACCGTCTTTCAATCAACAGTTCTTGACTGCCAAACTTTTTCCATTTGTTATGTTCCAAGACAAAGGTGAACCCGTACGTGATCAGCTCCACGGTAATTTTTAGGGACTCAGGAGAATCTAGAAACTTTCAAACGTGGTTCAAGCCAAACTGGCAGCACTTGGCCCAATCTCCAAATTAGTGCAAGTTAAATAATATAATAAAAGTAAATATATTTCCTGAAAGTACATTCATTTAAGCCCTAAGTTATAACAGAATATTCATTTCTTGCTTATGAGTGCCTGCATGGTGTGCACCATAGGTTTCTGTTTTCATGGGACATGAGTGAAAACGAAACCAAGTTAATATGAGGTAACTTTACAGATCTGCAATAAGATGGTCTTTGACAATGTATATGCAAGTGGTATGTGTGTAATTATGGCTAAAGACAAACCATTATTCAATGAATTACTAATGACAGATTTTATGCTTTATAATGCATGAAAGCAATTTTAAAATAACTAGCAGTTAATCACAGCATATCAGGAAAAAGTACACAGTGAGTTCTGTTTATTTTTTTGTAGGTTCATTCTGTTTATGTTCTTTAGGATGTATATAAGAACCTACCTATCATACTGTATGCATCACTCGTTCCATTTTCATGTTTCATGCATACTCGGGCATCATGCTAATATGTATCCTTTTAAGCACTCTCAAGGAAACAAAAGGGCCTTTTATTTTTATAAAGGTAAAAAAAATTCCCCCAAATATTTTGCACTGAATGTACCAAAGTTGAAGGGACATTACAATATGACTAACAGCAACTCCATCACTTGAGAAGTGTAATAGAAAATAGCTTCTAAATCAAACTTCCTTCACAGTGCCGTGTCTACCACTACAAGGACTGTGCATCTAAGTAATAATTTTTTAAGATTCACTTTATGTGATAGTATGATATGCATTTATTTAAAATGCATTAGACTCTCTTCCATCCATCGAATACTTTACAGGATGGCATTTAATACAGATATTTCGTATTTCCCCCACTGCTTTTTATTTGTACAGCATCATTAAACACTAAGCTCAGTTAAGGAGCCATCAGCAACACTGAAGAGATCAGTAATAAGAATTCCATTTTCCCTCATCAGTGAAGACATCACAAATTAAAACTCAGAACTATATTTCTAAGCCTGCATTTTCACTGATGTATAATTTTCTTATTAATATTAAGAAACAATTTTTCTATGGTATCTCCAAAACTGCATGACATCACTAGTCTTACTTCTGCTAATTTTATGGGAAGGTGTCCTTCATTTTAATTGCTTTTGGGGTTACTCCACATCTGTTTATTTCTTGACTAATCAGATTTTCAATAGAGTGAAGTAAAATTGGGGGTAATAAAAGCATTGGATTAACATATGGTTTGCCAGCCTATGGGTTTACAGACATTGCCCAAACATTTCTTTGAGATCTATATTTATAAGCAGCCATGGAATTCCTATTTATGGGATGTTGGCAATCTTACATTTTATAGAGGTCATATGCATAGTTTTCATAGGTGTTTTGTAAGAACTGATTGCTCTCCTGTGAGTTAAGCTATGTTTATTATTGGGACCCTCAAGAGGAATACCACTTATGTTACATTCCTGCACTAAAGGCTTGTACTGCAGTGTGGGGAAATGTTCTGAAAAAAGGTTATAGAAATCTGGAAATAAGAAAGGAAGAGCTATCTGTATACTATAATTAGAAGAGAAAAAAAGAAAAAATTTTGCCTGGAAATGTTAGTTTGTACTTATTGATCATGAATACAAGTATATATTTAATTTTGCAAACTGTTTTTACTTGTTTGTATTCTTTTCATTATAAGGAAAAGCAGTATAACACACTTTTTTTAAAGTCACAAGTTTGATGGTATATAAGATGTTTCAGAGCTGGCATTCTCTAAGCAGCAGATAAAGGTTGCATCTTTTCAATCTTCAATACATTCAAAGATCATGTTAGCATTCATTTTGGTTTGAGACACTTAGTTATGCTATTTCATATTATTAGGTAAAAGAGATTTGAAATAAAATGTATCTCCTTAATTATTTCTAACAAATACATTTCTTTAAGGCATCCAACTTTTTCCCAAACAACAGTTCACTTTAATGTGTGAAGACATTCTTAATTAGTATAATCACCTAGTTGATACTGTTCTCAGATTGGGAATTATCGAAGATGTACTTAGCATATCAGAACACCATGCTAACTTATCTATTATTCTTTCTTAGTAAAACAAAACAGCCAATAATAACTAAATAAAATATTAAATAACATTTCCACAGAATAAATTAGACTTTCATATACTCTACAATTAGAAATATCCATAAATATTTTCTTCTGGACTGTAAACCCAGATAACTAGGCTTTATGGTCTTGTTTTAAGTGATGCCTTTTATACTATAGAAGACACTCTTAATACATCATATATGTATGCAGAGCATCTCTAAGATGAGAGAAGCAGCACACCATTGGCATTCACTGTATGCCAGTTTGATGTTTGACGATGGAGCTACAAGAGTCTAAATCTGCCCATGTAAAGCTCAGCATACAATTTAGTAGAGTAGACCCCAAGGTTCAATAAAGTAATTTAAATAAAATATGGTAAGTTCTACAATCAAGGAATGAAGAGAGAAGAGAAAGAACAGCTTATTCCATCTGGGAGATTCAATAATGGCTTCATATATAGATGTTAGTGTGGCTAAAATAATGACATCAATGCTGTTTCTACTGGGAACTAATGGCAAGTAATGGTGTGTCAATACTGGTCAAGTGTTGAAGCCAGGATGCCAAGTACACAACAAGAGTATAAAGTGTATAGGGAGCTGAACTGTGATGGAGCAACTCAAGGATTTTCAAATGATCAAAGAAATACCAAAATTAAGTCAGGTCGTTTCCCTGTTTTCCATCACCTATTCTACGATGCACCGTTGGTTTTCAGTGTGAAAAATCCCAAACCCTGAGCCGAAACCACTTCTGGGGTCAAAACATTTTTCTTGTGCACAAAATGAATGGATCTTGGTCAAAGAAGTATGGTCACAATTTTCAAGCATATAAAAAGGAAAATCTGTTTTGCCTGCACAACAATCAAAAATGGCAAAAATACATTCAAGTGTCTGACAGTAATGGTAGAATATGGTTGCATTGTGCTGTATAATTTCAAAGTGCTTTCAGGTACATCATCCATGTTGCTCCTCACACACTTTGTAGGGTACAAATATTATGTTCCATCTGGGTTGAGGCTGATTTTCATGGATGGCTTGTGGCATCTGTTACATTACTTCATAATCACAATTCTGTGTTTCATCTTGAGAAATGTGGAGACTAATATTTGTACCAATATATTCCACTTTCAGTGAGGTTTCCAAGATGCTTCCTCCAAACTCTCACTTTCTTAAACAGACACATTTAAAATGTGACACCTTCTGAAAAGTCCATGAAGAGATTAGTACATTCATGGAAAAAATTTTCCCATAGACCTGTTTGCACTTCATGACTTGTCATGAGAAATCTAAAAAACAGAAGGCAAAATTTGATTGCTTTTGATGGATTTTTACAGAATAGTCATTTAATTTTCTCAAGGGTTATTTGGAAACAAGATAATGGAAAACACTAATCAGAAGCCTTATTTTATTTTTTAATTTTTAATAGGGATGGATTAGTAAGCCCTGATAGCTGAGTTCCAGTGATATCCAAGAAGGAACCATTTCAGCTTCTCATTTTCTCCCATCCTCCTCCCATTCATCTAATGACTTTTTTCCTATCTTTCTACACAAATTTTATTTATGATTTGACCACCTCTAACAAGACAAATATCTTATAATGAATATGGGAGTCTTTTCAATTTTACCTTATTCAGGAAACTCCATAATTATGTGAAATGATGCAATGTCATTATTAAGAGATATCTGTAACCCTGCGTAATAAAAGCATGCATAGGAAGAATGTGGTCTAATCTCCAAACTGAGTCTGAGTTTCAGGGCCTTTTGCATTTTTTTTTTGAGACAGTCTGGCTCTGTCACCCCAACCTCCACCTCCCAGGCTCAAGTGATCCTCCCACCTTAGCCTCCTGAATAACTGGGACTACAGGTGTACACCAAAACACCCAGCTAATTTTTGTATTTTTTATAGAGACAAGGTCTCAGTATGTTGCCCAGGCTGGTCTCAAACTCCTGAGCTCAAGTGATCCACCTGCCTTGGCCTCCCAAAGTGCTAGGAGTAATTGTAGGTATGAGCCACAGTGCCTGGGAGGTATTTTTTTTGTTTGCTTTTGTTTTTTGTTTTTTCGTTTGTGATAGGTCTAGCTGTCACCTATGCTGGAGTGCAGCGGCGCGATCTTGGCTCACTTCAACCTTCACCTCCCGGGCTCCAGCCAGCCTCCCACCTCAGCCTCTGAGTAGCTGGGACTACAGGTATACACCACCATGCCCCCCAGTCAATTTTTTTTGTATTTTTTGTAGAGACAGAGTTTTGCCACGTTGCCCAGGCTGGTCTTGAACTCCCGAGCTCAAGCAATCCTCCCACCTTGGCCTCCCAAAGTGCAGACGTGAGGGATTACAGACGTGAGCCAGTGGGGCTTGTTCTCTTTAATCTGCTTTCTGATTTAGTAGATGAGGGACCTTATCTACTCTGGACCTTAGCCATTTACTTCCATCTTACTGCCATGAGTTTAAATTAATGAGAATGTCACTTTTAGATTCTAATTTTGCAAAACTTAGTTCTTTCCTGTTCGTTCGTGTTTTCCAAATTAATTTGTTTGTCTAGCATGGATACAAAGGAAAGACATTAAAGCTTTCTGAATTGTGGCTCAAGGCCAGCTACTGCCCACTGAAAGGGTGATGAAAATAGAGAAAAGAGGAGCCCAGCAGTTGTGCCTCCCTCAAGAATGTAATGCTAATTATTGACCAACTGTCAAGATTCAGAGTGGTAACGGCATTCCAAGGAGCTGGCAAGAAGGATGAGAATGTGTGTGCTGCCCTTATCATAGCCATCTGGGCCAGAAGGAGTGAAAGGATGGTTAGGACAGCAGTGTAGCAGTGGGAAAGTTAAAACAATGGTGATGGATCATCTTAGGGCATGCTGGTGGGGGGTAGGAACATACTTCAATTTGGTTTCTGACTGAGAAGAAGAAAGCTATGCTGCCTAATAAAGGCACAACTTGATCTATTTGATAAATGCTCTCATTTTATAACTTCAGTAATTTAACATTTTCTGTATTGCAAAATGGAATTCAGTCCCAAAGTATTAAAGCTAGCCATACCTCAATCAGGAGACTCAACAATTAAGCCTGAAATTATGTTGTGGGCTTTTTTCATTTAAGAATTAGTGTTATTATTATTGAACATGTATGAAATAAAAGAAAGGGTGCTTTTATTTCATTAAACTTAATTTGTTTTTTAGCAGACATCTCTTGACATTAGAATAGCATTTGAGACATTTTCATGGTTTTCGTTAATCTGGAAAGCAAAATCCTAAGACTGAGGTTTCAAATGGAGACTGAATCAGTGTTTCCGATTCAGAAAATTAAGACCAAAAATACATTTGCTTAGGTTTTAACTGCAAAGTTGCTTATTTGGCTTTCATAATTGAACAGCTCAGCAAAATAAGATGGCCCTGGTTGTATGGTTTCTGGGGAACACAGGAGAATTAAATGTATGTATGTAATATTTGTATCTAGTGCCCTTCGGCAGCTGATAGCTTTCTATCCGACTTTTAAGATATTACAAACTGAGGAGTGTGGATAGCTGTGTTGTGTGATTCAGACTGAATCAGCTATTGCTGATGCAGGTAGGGAACCATCGTAAACTTTTGGTTACTGTCACCTTCGTAAAAAAGAGTGGCTGATGTTCCAGAAATACTTTGGAAGGATTGACCAGGAATGAACCAGAGTGGGATGTTCTTTTAGGACCCTAATGCTCTAAAAGATATAATTACAACCTATTTTTCTCTATATGATAGCGTAAGTAAAGTTTGGGGCTGTTAATATGTTGGAATGTGCTTAAAATTACACATTTTTATAATAGGGATGCAGGCATTCCAAAATAAATGAATAAAAACACATGCATCTCTCTCGCCTCTTACTGAAAGTATTAACCTAATTTTATAATAATGATTACTTTTTAATATTAAGGCTCTGTAAAAAAAAAAGATTTCTAAGATTTCAGTAGAACACAGGTGGTGTATTTTTTTAAGCCTTTCATTTCTCTTCACCAACCTCAGTCATTATGTTCACTATTTGGTGTGTCACAGTTAATAGTGGTATTTCAATTTTTGCATTGATTTAAGCTTCATATTTATTTAATGTTACTTTTAATGGAGAATAATGGGAGATACTTGCTATTAGCATTAAGGTTATACGGCTCTCGATTCACTTTATAGGTAATTTTTTTTTCAAAGTAAATAATGCAGACTGTTGACATCTTAGAAATGGTTTCTGGGTGGTATTATATAGGGCCTAGGACTCTGAACTGGGACTAGTTGTTTATTTTCTGGGAAGTCTGTATTCTTATTCTCAACTGAACCCCTGACTCTTTTGTTGTATTTTTTATGATTCTGAAATGCTTTGAGGGAAAGATATTTTAATGTGTACAATTTGTTTTATTTTCATACTGATCTCTATTTTTGTTTAAAACCATATTGCATCATGAAATCACTTAATCCAAAATAAATCTTCTTTACGAAAATCGATTATGACTTTCCTGTAATACTTTTGGGGAGAGAAAACTCAGAAGGGAGGAGAATAAAAGTAGAAATAAAGATTTCAGGCATTAGTATGCAGCTCTAGAAATATGGGAGGTT